CGAGAGGGGAGATACACCCTGGACAGAGCGCCAGTCCATTGTAGATTATATATATATATATATATATATATATATATATATATATATATATATATATATATATATATATATATATATATATATATATATCAGACACTGAGGACTACCTGAGAATACCACAAGCAAATGGCAACCTCAATGACAATGAGGTCACACGGAAAGGAGACACAGCCAAATATCTCCAACGAATAAGGCAAGTCCTGAGAACCAGCTCAATGGCATGAACAAGGTCTGTGCGATAAACAGCTATGCCTTAACAGTAATCAGATACCCTGCAGGAATAATTAGCTGGCCAAAGGAGGAGATAAAGACCATGGATGCTAAGACTCAGAAACTACTAACCATGAATGGAGGGCTCCACCCCAAATCCAGCACCCTGAGACTGTACACAAGCCGTAAGGAAGGAGGCAGAGGACTAGTGAGTGTGAGAGCCACTGTCCTGGATGAAACATCCAAGATCCATAAATACATCAAGGACAAAGCCTCAACAGATGATGTGCTCAGCGAATGTCTCAGACAATGGGGAACAGAGGACGAGGTGCTGGAGGTACCGTCATGGGAGGACAAGCCTCTACATGGGATGTACCATCGACAAATAACTGAATTGGCTGATATCAGAAAATCCTACCAATGGCTGGAAAAAGCTGGACTCAAGGACAGCACAGCAGCCCTCATCCTGGCTGCACAGGAACAGGCCCTAAACACCAGAGCAATAGAGGCTCAGATCTACCACACCAGACAAGACCCAAGGTGTAGGTTGTGCAAGGAGGCCTCTGACAGTCCAGCACATAACAGCAGGGTGCAAGATGCTGGCAGGGAAAGCGTACATGGAACAACATAACCAAGTGGCGGGCATAGTGTACAGGAACATCTGTGCAGAATATGGAGTAGAAGCCCCGAAATCAAAGTGGGGAACACCCCCAAAGGTGGTGGAGAATGACTGACCTAAGATCCTGTGGGACTTCCAGATCCAGACAGACAAGATGGTAATGGAGAACCAACGACATTGTGGTGGTGGATAAAGAACAGAGGAAAGCTGTTGTGGTGGATGTAGCAATACCAAGTGACTACAACATCAGGAAAAAGGAGCACGAGAAACTGGAGAAATACTAGGGCCTCAGAGAGGAACTGGAGAAGGCCTGGAAGGTGAAGACCACAGTGGTGCCTGTGGTCATCGGGGCCCTCGGGGCAGTCACCCCCAAACTGGAGCAGTGGCTACAACAGATCCCAGGAACAACATCAGAAATCTCAGTCCAGAAATGTGCAGTTCTAGGCACAGCCAATATACTGCACAGAACCCTCAATCTCCCAGGCCTCTGGTAGAGAACCTGAGCCCAGAGGATGAGAGAGAGACCACCCGCGGAGGGTGAGAAGGGAATTTTTATTTTTTTTTATTTAAAAGATTTTTTTTTTTTGGATGGTCTCTGATGACACACTCAGTGACAGGGTTAGCGATCTTTTAAAATGATCATTAAAAAGTGATTTCCAACTGTGATCACACTTTTCTGTAGTCCTGCGAATGATTTCTATGGGGTGGTAAAAAGAAGTCTCCCCATACTTTACACAAGATATGTGGCTTGTATACAACTATGGAACACTGAACCACATCTTTGTCATTTCAGAGTTCCTGAGGTAGTTACTAGAGTTTGGTTGTGATGTTCATAATTAAACCTGGAGAGGGTTTATACTGTGTCTCATACAAAATTATTAATTTTGTATGTATTGCCACAAAAAGCAAGGTTCTAACCAACAACTATGTCTGTATGATTGGCACCATGTCCAGCTTGCTCCATATATGGATTGTACTAAGCCAGGGATGCCCTTACTGTTTGTGGTGTAAAGGAGAAGTAATGGAGGGAAATAGGGAGCCTAGATTTAAAACCTCAGGGTCTAGTTTTGTCTTGCTGCAGAGAGAGCAGATTTCTTTGGGACAACAGATAAGGGATGAATCAGGCTTTCCTTCCTGAACTTGTTACCTCAGAGAATTAATCCTCAACAAGCAGACACCAACTTTTAAGGATAAAAAAAGAAGCAATCTGGAAAAAAATGATTTTATTTCATTGATACAAGTTCATGTGCATTTGAGTTAAAACCAAAATCCAATCTCAGAATTTAATGGATTAAAAAAAGACAAGCATCATTGGTTCACCGTGATAAACTTAGAACTGAAATCAATATGGGAATTTGTCATTCTATTCAGGTGTGAGTCAAATCCTTATTCTAAAACCAGCAGCTTTTCTATTCCTAATCAGGAAAAAAACAGCATCAATATCAAGCTAAGACAGTGGAGCCGTTGTTTGAAACAAACATCAGTTCCAGGGTGGTTAATTAAAACCCAACTGAGATCTACTGACGGAACTGTAGATGAATTACCAGACAGACATGGAAACGGTGTTAAAAAGAACAAATTATGTAGAATGGGTGAACAAAAAAAATGATAGAAGACAAAAGAGAGAAAGAGATACACTATTACTAATCAGTTATCAAATATGACAAACAAGGTGATCATGAGACCAATCTCAACGCAGATCTGCATAGTGGACTAGCGGAAAAACAGATTAATGGGAGGAATTGTATCCATCTTCAAATCCAAACCGAGAAGCTTTTTACACGCAGTCATTGCTGCATGTCCAGGTGCCCATAACATCACATTATAAATCCTAATCATCAAAAACACAAAACTGACAAATCCAGTTCTGTTTATCTATGTATTTAACATATAAAGCCTTGTTTATTATGAAGAAGGAATCTCTGTTTGGATTAGTTCGATTGGTGCATGTTTTCCAGCAATGACTCTTCGCTGTACGTGCGATGGAGCATGAGTCTCTGTTAGAGAATTGAGTCAGTGGCCTCCTATCCATAATGTGTGACCCAAAAACAAATACATCCACCAGTAATGTTCCCAACCTCGTAAAGCCTCTGCATACTCAGCAAGAATTCAATTTCTTTTCTAGAGCAGCAAGAAAAAAATGTTTGTCATTCTGTTACAGTCATGGCTTTGCAGTTATTTCCTATCATGGCTCCCCTTGGGATAATAAATGTTTTCATGCCACACTCAATTTAAACACTACTGCGAATCTGACAATATTTAATAATTTAAATGTACTAATCACTGGCTCCACCATTCTATGACCCAATTATCCAAACAGCTGAAACAAGTTCATTTTATTGTTTTAAGTTTCCAAGTTCAGTTTATTAACTCAATCAGTAAAATTTAATCAAGACTGCTCAGTCTGTGAGATTCTCAACACACAAAAAGTGCAAATTATTCACTGACAACTGACAACGCCACAAAAAAAACCTCAAAACATTTTCCACACAAAGAACAGAACATTCAGTCCGTTGCAGTATTACGTTTTTAGACTTGATGTTTATTTTGCAATTAATAATAAGTGATCACTATGGTAGATTAGCTACCGCTACGATAAGCTTATCTAACACCATGTTGGTTGATTAGTTGCAACTGAACCGAAACACAGAATTTCACATCACATCTACATGTTAAGGTTGTCAAAATCAGATAACTTACCTCTCCCTCGCTATTTTTTTCAAAATTAACAAAAAACAAAAAACTTCCATCTGGAGGATCTGTAGTGCCCCTGCTCAATAACTTTGTGTAACAGGGGAGCCTGTTTGGAGGGTCACCAAACAGGCTAGGACCACCTCTGTCTATAGTTTGCCTATAGTTTTTAAACTGAATGGAAAAGTTATCAATATTTCTCCTTACAAAAAGAATCTGAGTCAAAGAATCTGTATTGGCTGCTTCTTACTCCTAACTTTTTTCTAGTCGCACATTCAAATGTGACTGCAACAGTCGTCCAAATGTTGTCTTTACAGTATGTATGCAGATTATGAAAGCTATGCCCACATAAAAACGTAATTTTATTGCAATCATTGCAGCAACAACCTTTAATAAAAACACGTTTATGATCACTGTCTTATTAATCCATCCATCTGCTTTCTGAAACAATGCAGTACTAAAGCAGCTTCATCGTATTTTGAGCCATAGTAATAAAGTAATGGCACATTACTTTACAGATAATGTAGAACAGAGTAATTGTGTGCATTCAGCTCTTACTTGCTACGTCTTGTCCTGCAGCAGTCCATCAGAGGTGAATGTGGGCTCTGCTCCCTGCTGTCTCCAGCAAACGCTGGATGTGTGACACATGGAAGCACCCTCCTGGGAGAAGAGCCTGCACTGGGAGACTGGGAGCACTGTGAAGATACTGAGCTGTGAGGGGACAGAGGAGCAGCAAATGGCCAAGGAAGTGTCCTCTGCTCTTGGCGTACCTCTAGAAAAAAAACAAAACACAATTTTAATTTTAAGCAAAAAAAAATATATATCTGATTATGGAGAACTTGGAAAAACAGTGAAATAATACCTATTTAAGTTTCATGGCAAATTAATAATCTAAACTCAAGTTAAAAGCCAAAGAAGGATTTCTGCAGTTGTTGTCCATGAAAAATTATAAATAGAAAAAGCTGTGTGTAAAAAACAAACATTGTTGTTGCTTTCACAGGGTTTCACAGGCCAAATTCAGCAACACATCGCATATCAGCATGAGAATAGGAGGGGAGCACCGACTGAAGTTTACTGGATCATCACCAAGTTTTAAAAAGCCTAACATGCTGTTTCCAATGTGGCTGATATCAATTTGATTTTATAACTTACTCTGTCAGGTGTTATAAGGTCACAATACACCATCAATGTTCCACTGAACAATGCAAACTTGTTTTAACTGCACAAAGTAGTACTCTCAAATATATATATATATATTTTCTTTTAGAGGGACCCCTTCAGTGAAAAAAGTAGTAAGCAACATAAATATTTTATGTTATATTTGTAATCCACAGCTTTACACATGAATGATTCAATAGCAGTGAGGAACTGGAATGAAGAGGAACTGGAATGAAGTGGGCCTGCAGTATTCAAGTGATTCAAACTTATAGATAACTAAAATGATGGTTTACCTTCTCTTTCCATTAAAGAATAAGGCTTAATATCTCCATCAGACTTTTTTACTCTTCTCAACTGGGACACTGTAAAAAACAAAATGTACGCTCAGCTCTGGATGGAATTCAATGTCTTCTTTTTTTTCATAAATTAATTTTAATACTTACCAGCAAGGCAAAAAGATAAAAATGCATAAAGTGGCCAGTTAAAAACCAGATTGTTTTTGTAGCACTTTGACATTAACATGTGAAGTGCATTGTAAGTAACATGTTTATTATTATTACTACTACTATTGAAAAAGTTGTTCCATCTGTCCAATTTCATTAAGTGCCATTGACATATTCATACTTAAGTCAAACACCAGCAGTAGAAGAAGCTTCTGAGATGTACAATGCAGATGTTACATGAAAAAAGATATTCTGGGAAAGTGTGTATTATACTTATTCTATTCAAGTTATTTTCAGTTCTTGATACAAAGTGCAAATAAAAAAATTGTAGCCAATTATAAGGGAAGAAAGGGAACAACATGATGATGCTGAGGAACATGAAAAAATGAATAAGCTCCTCCTAAAAAGCTGCATATCCTCTAATCTGTAAGGAAAAACAAAATTGTACCTAGAAATTAGGTAAATTTTTTAGGTTAAATTTTATTTAGAACTGAAATTAAAGCAAAAATTTATTTTGAGTTGTCATCAAATAAAGACTGTCTTACATTAGCGGAATGGAAAAGGGGAAAAAAAGTTTATTCTAATCGTGGTGAACAAAGGTAAATTTAAATAATAATAATAATAATAATAATAATAATAATAATAGAGTACATTGGAATAAAGATATACAGACAGAGGAAAAATTGAAAGCAAATGGGTTTGTCACATTTAGAAGGTGACCTTCATGCTCTGTTCATGAGTGAAATGTTACAACAGCCATAAAAAAATAAAACGGTTAAAAATTACCTGCTCTTTTGTGGAAGAAGTCCTCAAAGGCAACAAAGTTATTGACCTGCACATAGTGATAAAAAAAGTCACATCAAACAATTTAATATACTCTACTGTGCCCCCTGAGCAGGGGCACAGTATAGGGGGGAAAAGTGATGACAATTCCAAGGGCCCTTGACCACAGTAGTCAGTAGAAGACAAGAATGACTGTGGCAGCTACTATGCTGCCTAGAAAAATAATAATGTCAAGTTTTCAAAAAAATAGAGATATAAGAGAAAGAAAAAGACAAGAGTGTCTATTTGTAACACAATTTTTCTCCAAGAGGTGCGTATACTGTGTGAGATTATCAACCATTCAGCAGAGTTAGCTTAGCTACAGACTACTGTTTGCCTCCATAGCATTTAATGAATTAAGGAAAAGAAATACCAAGATATTCATATACTTAACTTGTCCCTGTACCTTTTACCACACTGACAACAGGTTAGTCAGTCAGCAGCTGCTCTAATCCCTGATACCAACATAAACCCCTTACCCTCATCCCAGTGAAAAAGGTGAGCAAAACTGTGTTCAATGACAACTTAGTCTGCATCATTTCAGGGAATCTATAGGGATTTCTCTGTGTTTTTGCTCTTTTTACAATTACACAGCAAAAACAATATATTTGTTGCTGACAGAAATTCAAACAATCTTTATAAAATGAGAAAAAACTGCCTCCTGTCTGGCCAGTTCACACAGCCAGTTAAATTACAGTTATATGTTACCACATCCCTCCTGACCCGTCCTCTCCTAAGTGAAATTAAAGCTGCAGTATGTAACTTTTATAAAAAATATTTTTGTACATATTTGTTAAAACTGTCATTGTGTTGTGACAGTATGGCATGAGAGATAAATTGTGAAAAAAATATTTCCTCTGCCTTTTCCCAGTGCTATCTAGAAACAACAATCAGAGGCAGGAGGCAGGTTTTAGCGCTGTTAATCACAATGTCACGTGGCTGCTTATCCTCCCTCCCCCTTGCTCTGTGCTATGATGCAACTAGCATAGCAGAGAGCTATGCAGATTCAAACTGTAAAAGCTCAGTTTAGTTAGCATAGCATAGCAAACCAATGACGGCAGATAAACAGTTTTCCTGTCACAATAAGATGTTTCTCCACCATTAGCATATTTAGAAGTGAGTGAATGAGGTTGATTAACAGCACTAAAACCCTCCTACTGGTTCTCACTGGTTGCTTTTGGTCAGAACGTTGCATTACTTTAGCTAGCAACAGTAGGTCAGGGAGGAGGTGGAGGAGATTGATTTTTTTTTTTTTCAGATT